ATAGCCTTCATAAACTCTTCATTATCAAGATCTACATCATTAACATCAATCTCCATTGCAACTTGAGTCTGCTCACTTGGTTGCGCACTAAGGACCACCTTAAACGAACTATATTGCTCAAATAAAGCCACCAAAACTTCCTTCACTTTTGTCTTCAACCTATCAGCAAGAACCGTATCAAAAGACTCATTAATAACCCAATCCACATATTCTAACTTGTGTCTCATATCTAGTACCTCTGCAATGAATAACATGAGGTTGATATTATCAATATTTGACCAATATTGATCATATTTCCCTTTCATCCTTAGAGTCATACTACGTAACCCAGGATCTACACTTGTACACCATTTTGAAATCTTCAATCCAATACAAAAAATGTCCTGCATGTAAGCATTACTAGTGACAAAGTGAGCCAAAGACATGTAGAGTAGCATCATAAAAGACTTTCGAAAAAGATAAGAAGTATCATGCATACTCCCAATCAATATGTAGGCAAACCCCTAAACCTTTCCCCACTACTAAGCTCATCTGAATACTTACTATCCTCTATTTCCAATAACTCAAAAGCTTTCTGAAATTTTAATGCTGCCTCCAACATCAAGTATGTGGAATTCCACCTTGTTTCAACATCGAGAACCAATTGAGCTTTACTTTCAATTTTTTCTTTTGCCACACACTCCTTAAATTTGTGTAACCTTGCCGGAGAAGACCTCATGTAGCTCACTGCCGAACGAATTCGAAATATGGAGTCCTCCATATCTTTTAATCCCTTTTTTACAACTAAACTCAATATATGAGCACAACATCTCATGTGGAAGAAGTCACCATCCAAGACACTCCCCTTCCAACTTCCCAACCGAGTCTTTAGATAACTTATTCCAACATCATTAGAGCTTGCATTATCAATAGTGATTGTGAAAACTTTAGAAATACCCCACTCAAGCAAACACTTCTCCACTGCCTTGTCAATCTCTAAACCTTTGTGACTAATAATTGGGCAGAAGTTTATAATCCTTTCTGTAAAACCCAGTTTTCATTGATGAAATGAGCTGTCAGACACATATAATTGGGGTTATGACAACTTGTCCATGTATCAGTGGTGAGAGAAACTCTTTGTGAAAACTTAGCAAAGAACTTCTTCATCTTTTGGCACCCTTCATTATATATTTTAATACAATCTGAAGCAACTGTTGTTTAGCTAGACATTTGAAACCTTGGCTGAGCCACACTCATCAACTCCCGAAACCCCTCACACTTAACAAGCCTAAAAGGTAACTCATCAACAATGACCATTTTAGCTACAACCCGTCTAACCGCATCCTGGTCAAATTTTCAAGTCAAAAGTGAAGAATGTGGAACGCTACTCGACTGATCACATGTCTGTTGTGCTTGTTGAAACACTAATGTCTTCTGCTTCTTGTCCACCACATTCAAGGGATACTTTTTACACCTACTTAAATGGTTACGCAGACAACTTGTACCGCTTTTACTTGGACAAGTTAGAACATTCCCACAGTAATTACATGATGCAGTGGCATCATCCTTATTCTCATAATCAATCTTGGTAAAGTGATCCCACATTTCCGAAGTGTTCTTCCTTTAAGTAATAAAAGTCCCACGTTTTTGGGTTGAACGTGGCACTGGTGCCGTGCAAGTAATTAGATCTGTAGCCATATTTGTAGGTGTCGGATTCGGTGAATGAATGTCACTTGACGTTTGACAACCACGAGTATTGTCACCAGTCAACGATATCTGCAAAATTCGAAAAGAATTTAATGATAATTTATAAAGAATAAAAGAATGAATCTCCAAAAAAATGATAACATGGGCATCACCTATGTTACAATCATTATTATCCAATCATTACAATCATTTTCTTTCTTTATCAAACTAACACAACTTAAATTCAAGTAAAAGAATGTGGATTCCAATTAAACATCAAGACAAAACTAGTAATTAACATTAGTTAACCAACAAGGCAACAAAACAAGCACGTAATAAATTAACAATAATAAGTTCCTTTTATCACCAACAACACATGCACATCCATTCAATTTTAACATGCATACTAATAAACCTCACCACTCAATATCCAAGATCATAAATATTAATAAAAAGCCTAATTTCTCAACTAATCCCCTACCCCTAGGACACTGGAATTCTCGGCAACTGAAAAGAATAGAATAACATTCATATATATTGAACCACTACCACCCAATTCCACTATCGTTGTCGTAGCCTCACCACTCACCCCCCACCACTATCTCTTACTTGACTTTTTAAAAATCAGAAACAGCATCCTGTTCCTAGTGCAGGATGTAAAACTGAAGTAATATCTAGAAAAAGGAAACAGAAGCAATAACTGAAGGGAATGCAAATGGGTTTATGGGTCCAGTAAAAGAAAACCAAGAGCTAAGAAAAGGAAACAGAATAAGATTGATTCTGCCTCGACTAACATTTTTGATAAATTGGAGAGTTAATGTCCCCATGCAACATAGTGATAGTAATGGTGAACAACTGTCGATATCTGAGGAGGTATTTGGTCATAGAAACGGTTTGAAGAGAGGTCAAGAACTATGAGACTGGGTATAGTGAAGAGAGAAGGTGAAAGAGGACCCTTAAGGAAAAGAGCTGGAAGAGAGAGTGAGACGACTCGATCAAGTTCGCAAGTCACACCAACCCAGTTACAATGCGGGGTCGTCCCATTCCATGAGAATAGAACTCGTGGATTTTCAAGAGAATTTTTTAAAGAAATAAGACTTTCTCGTTCTGGGTTTCCCTCTGCAAAAACATTACAGGTTGCAGCACACGACACAAGCACTAACACCCAAACAGACGCCATTTCCATTACAGAGAAAAGTAGAAAAACTTAACAGAAAAAAGACGATGAAGAACAAAAAAGTAGAGGAAAAACAATGAAGACAATGAAGAATGAAGAAGAATTTTGGTTTTGTTTGACTTGACTATGTATTTCAAATCCCAAATCTTCATTTTTGGCATTATCTTCAGCTTCAATCTACATATTAAAGATTAAATGTGGCATAAAAACACTTGAAAACTTCGGACTACTCAAGTGCTTAACAAAAAGTAAATTTAGTTTTTGGGTAATTACAGATGATAAACTTGTAATGCTGGCAGACCAGACTACCAATTACAAAACAATGCTTCAGTTAATTTTAATTTTCAAAGCTGCTAAAATTCTTATTCCTTTTTCTAGATAAAAAAGCTGCAACTGTTTGTTCTTCAGGGAAAAAAAAAAGTTTTTATTTCTTGTCCCATTGGGCACAACATCTCTGGGAAAAAAGATACGGCAGATGTCTATATCAACAACATGCAGGTGCAAATGAATCAAAAGTAGCAAGAAATGTGTAAACGAGACCAAAAGTGACTGTATGATTCCTACATATGTTTCAGGAAACATATGAATTCCCTTACCAATTGTATTTTAAATTTCATTGCCAAGTTTATAGACCTCCAAATCCAGACCATCAATACTCTAGTGAATAACCATTTTGTGAAGAAATGAAAAACAAAAATCATGAAGAAGAAGAAGAAGGACTTGGGAGCACCAAATCCAAATCCAGAAAATGCATTTTAATATCCTACTGACTTGACCACCAAAAGCTTTAGTTGTTAGAGAGTGGAGAGGGCATCGGCGGTGACTGGAGTCTTGGAGAGTGAATAGGGAAGCAGCAGCCGGCGAGTTTAAGAGGAGAGGACGGGAGGAGGAGAGACGGTTAATGAAGAAGAAGAAGAAGGACTTGGGAGCGAAATCAATAGGAAAGTGGAGAGGGTAGCGGCGACTAGAGTCTTGGAGAGTGGAGAGGGCAGTGGCGACCGATGAGTTTGAGAAGAGGAGAGGAGTATTGTCGAGTTTGAAGTTTAGGGATTCAAGATTCAAACTTTTCAAAGTAATATTAGATTTAGGTATTTAGAATTTTAGATAATAGAGATTTTTAAAATAATATTATTATATTAATTGGGAAACCGGTTTATTAAACCGGTTATGAAAATAATATAAACCGTAAACCGAACCGGAAAACCAGTTTAGCCATTTTTTGAAATCAAAACCGAAACCGGTTAACCGGTTTCCGTTTTTTTTTGCAGCCCTACAATTTTATTGTATTAAAATTGAATTAATATTTGAAATGTTAATAAAAAAAAAAAAAATTTAATTGAATTGACTTATTGATATTTGAAAAGTTAACTAAAAACAATTATATAAAAGAAAAAATTAAAAAAAAAATTGTGGGCTAACCAGGCCCGACCCGCATCATAACCCGTCGGGTTAGAGTTGACGGGCCGGGCTAGGCCAGCCTTTCTGGCCCCTATAACCCGCCGCGGATCGGGCCAGACGGGTCATTTTTCCACCACTAGTACTAGGGTGACCCATTTTGCATATAAAAATTGGATGCAACAACTGAAAATCATAAATAAAATTAACAAACAATATTATAAGTGGACAGATCATAAACTTTTTGTTTCAACCATAACATAAATAATTAATTATGTTATATTTCCAATTTTATAATTTATTGAAGGGAATACTTTTTGTTATAGATGCAACATATTTAACTCTATTCTTTTACATAATTTTTGACATAATTTTTTATTTATTGAAAAAATATATTTTAACGATTGAGATTATATTTAAGTTGCATTAAATTGTGTCATAATTTGTATTAAAAAAAAATGTAATAGTCTTACTCAACCTGAACTCAATAAATTAAATTAATAATAATATTGTATGTTATATATATTTCATTAATCATTATTAATTAGTAATAATACATGAGTTGGTATCTTTTAATTAATCCTTGTTTACGGCATCTTATGAGTTATGATTAAATGCTGAAAATCAAGATATAATTTGTTTTTAGAAACAAAAACATAATTAAAGTACATTATTAAGATCACGTTAAAAAAACATGTTCAAATGTGAAAGAAAGAGTGAAGCGACGATAAGATTTTGACTTTGACCAAGCCATCATTACCCGCCAGCCGACCTATCCAGTATCCACCACACTTTACCTCCAACTCCAAGAGGTTAAAGCATGAGCGCCTGACCCTGAGATGCCTACGTGGCAAAAACCACTCTTCACCCGCCACGCGTCGCCATCCAACCTCCAACATCCCCGATAAAAGACGCGCCCAGAACCCAACTCCCATCTTCTCTTCTCTTCTCTTCTCTTCTGTCTACAATCACACAGTTAACAGTCCCATAAAAAACGATGCCGTATTGGGAGGTTCGAAAAGAGCAGAGCAGTGACACCTCCGACGGTTCTTCACCCAACAATGGGATCAAGATTTTCTACAGAACGTACGGATATGGCCCCACCAAAGTCCTTCTCATCATCGGTATGAATTTTAAACCGTGAATTTATTTTGTTTTGATCGAATTGTGATTGAAATTTCTGGATTGGTGATGTGATCATGAAATGAACGGTACAGGATTGGCTGGGACTCATGATTCGTGGGGCCCGCAGATAAAGGCTCTGACCGGGACGACTAAGCCCAACGACGAAGACGGCAATGATGAAGAAACGGTGAATGGGAATTCAGATGGAGGACGAAGAGGAATTGAGGTGTGTGCGTTTGATAATCGTGGAATGGGTCGGAGCTCCGTCCCCGTCAGAAAGTCCGAATATACGTGAGTTTCTGATTTAATATTCGTTTTCCGTTTGTTTTGTCTTGTTTTTTAGCTGTAATTTTTGTGGCTTTGTTGTATATATTTATTATGAATATTTTGTGGAGTTCAGAACGAAAATTATGGCGAAAGATGCGATTGCTTTGTTGGATCATTTGGGCTGGAAGAAAGTCCATGTTTTTGGGCACTCAATGGGTGAGTATTTATGATAGGTTGAGTTGTGTTTGGAAGTGCTTTTGGAATACCGATATAAAGTGCTGTTTTTTTTTTTTTTTTTTCCAAAGCATTTTAGCAATGGTTTCTGAAAAGTGCATGCAAAGCGCTGTTTTGAACAGTTTATAAAGTACTTCTCTTATCTAAGAAGCGCTTTTCAAAAGAGAACTTACCCAGTGCTTCTTTACAATTATCTGACAGCAGTTAATTTTGTGGTTTAACTATTTGAAAGTGCTTCTCCAACCTGTAACCTTACTGATAATCAAGTCTTTGTAATTTAAGCTTGCTATTACAATGTGTGAATAAGTTAATATGTTCAAATTTACTGTGAGCTGAATACAAGCATTTTAGCAAAAAATCTTAACTGATTTTTGAGTTGGTTCTGATTTAAGCTTTCTTAAATTTGTTATGATCAAATCAGGGGCTATGATATCTTGCAAGTTAGCAGCAATGGTGCCTGATAGAATTCTTTCTTTGGCGTTACTAAATGTAACCGGTGGAGGTTTTGAATGTTTCCCAAAGGTATCATATACACAAATGAACAATTTTTTTTTAAGATTCATTTAATCAATACAAGCATATTGTATAGTTTCTAAACTTTGTTTCTGTTCAATGAGCATGTGATCTTATGGCTGTTTAATTTGATTGATGATAGGGCTAATGAAACAAATGTTTGAATTATTGTGATGTGCATAGAGTTTGGATTCTTTTATATTGAGCATGAGATTTTTAGTTCCTATTCAAGAATGAATGAATACATTCAACATCAAGCTTCTATAAGTTGATGAATAGTGATTTGCTAACTCAATTTAAATCTGGTCACCACACCTTAGATGAAATACTATTGAGAGTGCAGGATTGGAAATTTTCTTAGTCTTGCTAGGTGTGTCAAATGTTTACAATTTATGTTGTTTCCTGCAAACAGAAAGTGACGTCCACCAGACTTTGTGAAATATAAAAGAATACACAATTATGTGAAATTTGTGATTGACCAGACCCGGTGGAATTGATTGTGACCAAGTCAAATTTGTGATGTTCAAAATTGACCAACCCAAAATTATGACTGAGTCAACCTAAAGAACTTCTTGATATATAAGGAACCTGATTAAAAAAAATTGAATTTATTTCTATAATTAATGATTACTATTATTGGTTAAATTATAGCCAATTACGATGTTTGAAAGATAGATCTGCCAGGGACCAGATCTGAATTCATTGTCCTTATGGTCAAACTGTATATGTTGCACTGATTGATCCGGGGAGTGGCGGGTACTGGTCAAAGATAGTGATGTAGCTGATTTTATGTTTGCGGTAATTCACATGCTTCATTTGCTCAAGCTCTCTTATAAATGGGATATGATCATGCTTTGGTGTTGGGTAGGAAGGGGCCTACCATAGGTCAAGCAAATTGAAAATATTAATATTGACGAAAATAAGAAAAAAAGAAAGATTGATTGTGATTTTTTTTGTGTTCAATGAGAAAAATAATTGTTCAATGCTCTTTGCAGGAGGTGGTTGAGCTGGGACAACCTGCTCAATTCTTAGTTTTGAAATTTGGTTTGTCTTTATGCTTGGCCTATTTGATCTTTGAAGACAATCTAATAATTTTCTAGAGTACAATGCATTGTAATTAAACAATTGCTTTTGCAAGATTAATGCGCTTTATGCCAGTTATCCTGTACTCAGTAACAGAAGATTTTGTTGTCATCGTAGAACTTGTGAATACCAGTTATTTTGCACTCGGTCACAGAAATTATAATTTATTCTTTAAGACATGAAATCCCAATTGATTGTGCAGAAATCATATCAAGTGAACCAGTGTCCAGTTAAACTGCTATGTTAGCTTGCTTTCAATCGGTTTTTGTTTCATATTGGTTTCTAAATGCTGTCTGGTTATCCTCAGGTTTTATATAAACTTGGTCTGTCCAATCCAGTTTTTGAAAATCATTAGGTTATAGTAATACTTATGAGACAAACTCTTTCCAGTGGTCTATGGCCAACTCCTCGAAATGTTATTGATGATTGGATGCTTCATCTTTCTGTGCAGCTTGACAGTCGAACATTATCAGTTGCAATCCGTTTCCTAATGGCAAAAACTCCTGAGGAAAGGGCAGCTGTGGACTTGGACACCCACTATACAAAGGTAAACAAAAACTATTTTCCTAGTGTTTTGGTGATTGTGAGCTGTTGGGTGTTACGAATTGGCTATTGGAATGTGGAAGATTGTTCTAAATATTACCCTTTGTCCCTCCAAATTTGTATCCCTTTTTAAGTTCTAAAGAGGATGGGAATAAGATTAAGATGATTATATTAGAAGTTAGATTTTCTTCGGACTAAAACTTGTACAATAGAATCAGTATGATTCAGTAATCTTCACCTGATCAAAGTTTCCCTACTCTAAGAATATTTAATTCACCCTTGTTAAAGTCAATCTCAGCGTGAATTTCATTTTGTTCACTCTCTTATCATGACAGTGGAACATACTTATATTTTAAACATGGTTGTGAGACATCTTATGCATCTTATTGTTACATGATGTGCAGGAATATCTTGAGGAATATGTTGGCTCAACTACTAGAAGATCAATCTTATATCAAGTCAGAACTCCTGCTGCCTTGCATCATTTTCATATTGCTGAAATATAATTTTTGCACCTTGAATTTACAGTTGGATGTTGCTATTTAGATCTACTACTAGCATAGATGAATTTGTAGTCACCTATGGTGATAAACTAAAGAGGCTACATACTTGAACAACAGATTAATTTATCTAAAAAAGATCATAAGAAACTAGCATCTCTTTTTTTTTTTTTTTTTTTTTTTTTTTCCCTGATTCTTTTCCTACCACTGTAAGTTCTAATTTGGCTTTCCATCTGCAATATTTGCTTTTTTGCTTTTATTATATCTTTCATTTTTAATATTTAGTTTTGCTTGAGATTCTGTCTCCGTTCTAGTTATACATTACATTAAGATGTCTATCACCCTGGCCCTATATATATTGCTTGTAGGAATATGTAAAAGGTATCTCAGCAAGCGGAATGCAATCTAATTCTGGTTTTGATGGTCAAATACATGCATGCTGGACGCATAAAGTGACACAAGCAGAAATTGAAGCAATCCGTACTGCTGGATTTCTTGTTTCAGTAATTCATGGCAGGTAGATAATTAACCTTCAAAGCAACTACTACAAGTATAGCTGTCTAATTGTGTACATAAATTTCATGTCCTTCTTAATGTGTTTCATGAGATCTTGTTGCTTTTCCAGGATTAATTGAATAAAATACCTGAAGACATACAACTATAGTATAAGGCTATGATCATTTATTGCTAAATTCTGTTTCACTTTTAAATATAGATTAGTTGAGATGAAATATTATAAGTATGTTCTAAGGAATTGATTTGGGTGAACTAAAAAGGTCCTCTGAATGTGTAGGTATGATATCATTGCTCAAATTTATTATGCAAGGAGACTGGCCCAGAAGCTGTACCCTGTTGCTAGAATGATAGATCTTCATGGAGGGCATCTTGTGAGTCATGAGAGACCAGAAGAGGTATTTGGTTTGCTTATAGATTCGGACCATTGGAATTATGAAGTTGGCCATTGTATTGGGCGTAGTTACATATATGGAAATAGTAAAAGTTGGGTATGAACTGGCAAAGTTTCATCATAGAAGTTGGCAACTAGATATTAAATTGCACTTGACCAAGACAAAAAGGTTAATCTGGGCCATGTTAAACTACATATAAACTTCAATAATCATTCAAAAAATCAAACTCATGACTTTCGAATAGCTGGGACTCAATGATATCTTGAAGTAAAATATCAGTATAGGAAGTAATAACATCACAATGTTTCCCCTATCATTCCAATTTTTCAAGTTCCTCTTTTGTTTTTCACTCATGCTTGGTTGTGGAAATGAAAAGAATATCATTTAACTCTTGTTTGAAATTTCAGGTCAATCAAGCTCTCCTTGAGTTGATAAATGCATCTGAAAGGGAGATAAGCCCCCTTGATTGGACTAATATGCCCAATAAAACATCTGGTAAGCATTTTAAATTCAAGGTAACCATTTTTTTTTTTTTTTTTCTTGTTCCAAGTGTTTTAGCATGAACGAGAATACTGAGTCATGATTGCATAAGGGATATACTGGGAATAAATTTTCATTCTTTCTTTTATCTATGAAGAGGAGTTTTATGAGAGAAAATAAACTCTGCAAGTTTCGCTTGGGTTCCAATAAAGCACTTACCCGGCATATCTGAACCCTTTGTAGTTCCAATGAATTCTACACTCTTATATTGCTCTTACCCCTGATCTTAAGGAACAAAGTAATTGCCAGGATATCTCCAAACTATCAAATCACTTGAAATAGCTGAACCAGCGCTTGAATACAGCCACATGATCAAATCATAGGAATATTGTTCCAAGTCAAATCACTTGAAATGTGTTGTCTAGATTATCTTTCCACCTCTCTTTCTCTCTCTAAACCAAGATCATCATCGAAACATAAATTATGGCCATGGGCAGGATTTAATCAATCCTTATTGTGTTAAGTTTGTTTAGAGAATCTGTTTCCTCCAGCCCATTTTGCCCTGCAAAATGGGGTGTGACCATTACCAAAGTGGCTCAGTATTATGTATTAGCTTTGCATATTATGTCTATTTGAGGTGCAGGATATTCCTTCATGAATGAATTGTCTACTAGTCTAAATTATATGAGGTGATTAATCTGGCTTCCGATTGATATTCTGCTGAACTACTGTAGTAATATTGTCTCTCTGAGTAACTGCAAACAAATAGATGCACTAACCTTCCATATGAGAGACAATCACCAATATCTATTTCTGTCATGTGCATCTATTTTCTTTACTTGATATCATTTTCTGACAAATTCTCTCTTTGTCAGGTTTTCTGGGGATCGGGCTGTCATTTGTCAGAACAAATTCAGAGCATAGGAGCTGCATGTTGAGCACGTTGGAGAAGCTACATCTTTTCCTATTTTACCTCTTTGGTCTCTTTGTGTTAGCCTACGAGTATGCAAGAAGGGGTATACAAAACCTAAAACCAGCAAGGGTTGGGGCTCACCTCACGTAAGCTGACATCCAACACACCCCATCTTTTAACAGGTAAGTTTGACTCTTGTTTCCCAAATCTAAGGGTGTGTTTGTTTTATTATTTTGGGTAGGATTTTTGAAAAAGTTGAGTTGGGTGGTTATTATGAGGTAAGATTTAAAAATTAACAAAAACACCTCCTATATTAGTTAATTTAGCTAAACACCCCTATAATAAAATATTGAAAATTAACAAAAACACCCACACCCAGCCACCCATTAAATGTCGACAGCCGGCCACCACCGCTTAAAGGTGGCCGACAGTCGTTATAAAGGCATTTTCTGGCCAGATCCACTGTGGATCTGACTAGAAAAGGCTAAATCTGACCATGTTTGGTCATCAATGACAGCGAAAGATATGGTCGTCGTTGACGCTTAACAACAACCATATCTTGACTGCTGTTGATGACCAGCTACGACCAAAGATCTGGCCGTTCGTGAATCTAGCCGAAAAATGCTAGATCAGCGCACTACTAGCCAGATCCAGTCAGTAGTACGTCATTACGCCAAATTCCGACCACTTTCCTGCGGTAGTGGTCGAAATCTGGCAAATGTGGATGTGTGGAAGTGTTTTTGTCAATCTCTAAACTTTTTTTTTTTTTTTTGGTGTTTAGTTAAATTAACAAACTTAGGGGGTTATAAAATAATTGAATAAAATAAAATAGGATTTTTAGAATAGGAAAACAAACACACCCTAAGAGACTCGGACAACATGCTTCTTTATAAAAAAAACAAGTTAGACAAAGAAACCTTACCATTTCTGTTTCTCCTCTATGCAGGGTTTCATACTTTCATTTGATTTCTCACCCTAGTGGGGCGGCCCTCTGCCCTCTGCATTTTAAGCAGTTTTCTTACACGATATTTGAGTAAATTTACTGATGAATACAACACGAATTTACCACCGGAGAGATCAGCACAACCATATTAATTTATATACACCTAAGGGAACGGTGAAGGGGTGATGCATAACTCATGATCGTCCCTTGCCCTTGGATCATGTTTTCTTGCAACAGATGATGATAATAAATAATATTGTATCTACCAGAACTCACACAAAAAATGAATATGCACAGAGAGGAGACCATATCAGAATTATTTTGTATCTAAAGCAATGAATATATTAGACTGCCTGTATCTATGGAGTAAAAGAGTTGTGCCTGAATATTACATCATTAACACTCGTGAATAGGTGGAAGGGGAAATTGGTTACCAAGTTGATGGAAATTGCGTCATATTCTAACAGGCTTATTAACAGAATTTGGGCTTTCTGGGTGTGTTTTTTAATGAATCCGTTTTTCTTTTTTCTTTTTAAATATTAAAAACAATAAGAAAAATGCGAAAATGAAAATATTTTGGTATGATTGTTTCAAAACTATGACTTGAATAAAAATACTAAATTTATCAACTATGCAACTGATAAAATCGATAAAATCTTATTTTATTTGTTAAAAGATTTTAAATTTTATACTCTTTGTTCCCAAATTCTCTCTTTTGCGGAAATGAAAATAGCAAATTCATGCACTATTTTACAAGCGAAAAAAAGTGCAAAACTGGAAATAAGTTTCTTATGAGGCTATCCAATGAAATTCAAATAATTAAAGAGTGGGTAATACTTATTTCTTTTGATCGATGGTCATCAAAACGGTATGCTTAAGCTTAAGTGATACCGTAAAAAATAAAAAATTAATTAAAAAATTCTTTCCAAATATTCATTTCTAGATTGAAGTCGATATAAAAGTTTTAAAAACTAGTATTTTACTTAACCTTTTTTAGTTTTTTTTCAATAGTTCAAACACAAAATCAATAGATACCAGAAAGTTGGTTTAAAAACAGAAATTTGTGTATTTTTAATAGTATTTCTGTAGATAAAAGCAGGTAGTCGCGCGTACAATTTCATTAAACTTTATCAGAAGTAGAGCTAAATCAGGTAAATAGAAGTGGTGAGTGTTTTTGGGTTGTGATTAAGCATCTTAAGTTAGATATAAATCATCACAGATCGTGAAACTTTTAACACTTAAATACAGGATTATTTTTTATTGCTAATTACCATGTTCTTACTTCATTAATTAAATTATATATCTGCGAAAATTCTCAAGCACAGAACTAGCTATGGGATGATGACACTAAAGTAAAAAATGAAAAACAAAAATGCTTAATTTCCTTGCATGAGAGGGAGATAGAAACATACCTGGGAGTTTTACTGAGAAAGAGGATGATAGGTTTAAGAATTAAGGGTAAAGAGACTGAAAGATAAAGGAAAGAATGTTTTCAGAGGAAGATACCAAGTTATGCCAAGTAATATGCTTTTGTATTGGAGGCATGAGAATAATGATTCCAAAATATACCTTAGAAGATGCTATTTCTATTTCTTTCCGTATGTAACCTTCAACAATAAGTTGTGGGCTCATATTAGTTGATTGAATATAATAATTAGAAGATAATATGTACTTCTTAATCACCTTACCTAATCATCTGTTTCTCTAGTAAAACAAGTTAGCGATTGTTTGTCCGGATAAATTACTTTAATCATATTGTTTAATCGAAGAATGATATGTTTCATTTCATTGATTTTTAATATATAGTTACAGTCTTTATATTGATAGAATACAATCCATTGAATCTCTTAATTATATCAGTTACAGATTATACAACATACTGACATAATTAAAAGATTACATAATATCAAGAGTATCCTAATATTGACAAAAATAAAAGATTACAAAATATTATATAAATCTCAACACTCTCCCTCAAGTTGGTGCGTAAATATCACACATGTCCAACTTATCTAAAACTTGTGAGAATATACGTTTAGAGACAGCCTTGGTAAGAATGTCAGCCAATTGATCTTCTGATCAAATCTTGGGCAATTCAATAATATTTTCATCTAGTTTTTCTTTGATAAAAAATATATCTACTTCAACATGTTTCGTACGATTATGTTGAACTAGATTGTGAGCAATATCACATGCTACTTTATTGTCACAACATAACTGGATTGGTTGATTAGGTTGATAGCCCAAATTTTGCAAGAGAAATTGTAGCCACAAAGCTTCACAAATCCCAAGTGTCATTCCCCTAAATTCTGCTTCAGCGCTTGAGCGTGCCACAACATTCTGTTTTTTGCTTCTCCTGTGACTAGATTACCTCCTACAAAAGTGAAATAACCCGAAGTAGATCGTCTATCATCCACTACTCCCGCCCAATCAGCATCAGTAATTCAGTATATGCATCCATATTTTGGTAATCCGTATTTTTAGTAAATAGGATTCCTTTCCAGGAGCATGTTTTAAGTATCTCAAAATGCATGTGACAGCATTCATATGTTGTTCTCTAGGATTATGCATGAACTGATTGACTATACTCAATGTATAGGCAAGATTTGGCCTAATATATGACAAAAATATCAATCTTCCAACAAGTCTCTGATATCTCCCTTTGTCAACTAGTACTTGATCAATTTTGATATATAATTTCAAACCTTCTTCAATTGGTGTATCTGCTGGTTAACATGCTGACATACCAGTTTCCTGCAAAACATATAAGGCATACTTTCTTTATGATAGAAAGATACATTTGTTAGATCAAGACACTTTGACTCTAAGAAAATGTTTCAAAGAACCTAGGTCTTTCATTTCAAATTCTTTTGAAAATTATTTTTGTAGAGCCTTTCTTTCTTCTAGATCATTTCCAGTGACCACCATATCATCCACATATACAATAAGTGCAGTGATCTTTCCTTGCGATTACTTTAGGAATAATGTGTGATCTGAATTGCTCTAATGGTAGCCAAAAGACTTCATAGCTTTTGTAAACCTCCCAAACCATGCCTTTAGAGATTGCTTCAACCCATATAGATATTTCTTTAACTTACATACTTTTTGGCTATGTTTTTCTGGTGAAATACACCCTCGTGGAGGATCCCTATATATCTCTTCTGACAATTCTCCATGTAGGAAAACACTTTTCACATCGAATTGTTGTAATGGCCAATCAACGTTTGCAGCTAAAGATAATAAAATATGTACCGTGTTAATTTTAGCTACGGGTGCAAATGTCTTTGTATAGTCTATCCCATGGGTTTGAGTGTACCATTTTGCTACTAGTCTGGCTTTAAATCTCTCAAGTGTACCATCAGCTTTATACTTTATAGTGTAAACCCATCGACATCCAACAGTCTTCTTTCCTGGTGGATGATCAACAAGTAGAGGTGGAAAAAATGGGCCGGGTTAGGCGGCCAACCCTAACCCGGTCCGTAAAAAAGAGGGCTCAACTGAGCCCAACCCACCAGCAACCCCCGGGCGGGCCGGGATGGCAACCCGGTGGCCTGCGGGTTGCTATTTTGTCCTCTCTGCAAGAGGACCGCAACCCGGCGGGTTGCAGGCGGGTTGGCTGTTGCCAACGGCCAACCTGCCGGGTTGGCCCAAAAAAAATTAAAAAAAAAATGTAAATTTTTTTTATTTTTTTCAATTACCCTTTTACCCTTGAAATATAGCCGTTGGAGGGGTCTTTTTCGTCATTTTCTTTCCCCATTTTTTTCTATAAATTGGCCCTAAACTCTCATATTTTTCTCACAACTCAAATTCTCTCATTTTCTCATATTCTCTAATCTCTATTCTCTCAACTCTCAAATCTCAATTATTTATTTATTCTCTTAATATTTTTGTTATCAATTTGCTCTTATTTTAATTTTTATTAGTTTTTGTACAAGCGAAAAAAAGTGCAAAACTGGAAATAAGTTTCTTATGAGGCTATCCAATGAAATTCAAATAATTAAAGAGTGGGTAATACTTATTTCTTTTGATCGATGGTCATCAAAACGGTATGCTTAAGCTTAAGTGATACCGTAAAAAATAAAAAATTAATTAAAAAATTCTTTCCAAATATTCATTTCTAGATTGAAGTCGATATAAAAGTTTTAAAAACTAGTATTTTACTTAACCTTTTTTAGTTTTTTTTCAATAGTTCAAACACAAAATCAATAGATACCAGAAAGTTGGTTTAAAAACAGAAATTTGTGTATTTTTAATAGTATTTCTGTAGATAAAAGCAGGTAGTCGCGCGTACAATTTCATTAAACTTTATCAGAAGTAGAGCTAAATCAGGTAAATAGAAGTGGTGAGTGTTTTTGGGTTGTGATTAAGCATCTTAAGTTAGATATAAATCATCACAGATCGTGAAACTTTTAACACTTAAATACAGGATTATTTTTTATTGCTAATTACCATGTTCTTACTTCATTAATTAAATTATATATCTGCGAAAATTCTCAAGCACAGAACTAGCTATGGGATGATGACACTAAAGTAAAAAATGAAAAACAAAAATGCTTAATTTCCTTGCATGAGAGGGAGATAGAAACATACCTGGGAGTTTTACTGAGAAAGAGGATGATAGGTTTAAGAATTAAGGGTAAAGAGACTGAAAGATAAAGGAAAGAATGTTTTCAGAGGAAGATACCAAGTTATGCCAAGTAATATGCTTTTGTATTGGAGGCATGAGAATAATGATTCCAAAATATACCTTAGAAGATGCTATTTCTATTTCTTTCCGTATGTAACCTTCAACAATAAGTTGTGGGCTCATATTAGTTGATTGAATATAATAATTAGAAGATAATATGTACTTCTTAATCACCTTACCTAATCATCTGTTTCTCTAGTAAAACAAGTTAGCGATTGTTTGTCCGGATAAATTACTTTAATCATATTGTTTAATTGAAGAATGATATGTTTCAATTCATTGATTTTTAATACATAGTTACAGTCTTTATATGGATAGAATACAATCCATTGAATCTCTTAATTATATCAGTTACAAATTATACAATATACTGACATAATTAAAAGATTACATAATATCAAGAGTATCATAATATTGATAAAATAAAAGATTACAAAA